TCCGCTCCGGCGACGTCCCGTTCGTCGTCGTCGCTCTCGGTTCCCTCTCCGCGCGCGCCGTCGACGCGCGTCGCGCTTCCGTCGTCGTCGTCGTCGTCGTCGTCGCGCCGTACGATCGCCGAGCGGCGCGAACGAAAGAATCAATCGTCGTCATCGTCGTCGTCGTCGTCGTCATCGTCATCGTCGTCATCGTCGACGAACGCGCGATCGCGCGAAACCCGAGCTCGCGACGCGCGCGCGCGCCGAGCGCCTCGATCGCCCGTCGCATATGAGAGGCGCGGCGGGTGATACGGCGTTGAGCAGGAAGAGGGGCTGGCACGAGAAGATGATCGATGAGCACAAACGCAAGGCAAGCAAAGGCGAGCAAATTAGCATTAGGAACTACCTCTTATAGATGTTGTAGAGAGTATTTTAGCACCTTGCAACATCTGGTTGGTGGTCAAAACCTCTTGGAGACATTTTCGCCCTTAACATTTTCGCTCGTAACTCGCTACGGAAGAATGAAACAAGATTTAGCCACGCCCAGTTCTCTCACAAATTTGCAGAAGGTTCTCTCACACCTCGTGCATTTGGAAGATGGGACCCTTTTTTTTTATTTTCGCCAGTTGCCAGCGCGTCCCACGACGCACACGCCGCGCAACGCCCGCAAACCGTCCACGCGATGACTGCGCACGGGCCTATCGCGTCGAAACGACCATGAAACCGCACGTCGCGTCGGGCACGCGTCGGTGAGGAAAGATGGAATTGGAAAAATTTGGAAAACTAGAACGACGACGCCGCGCGCGCCGCGCACGGCGTCGCGCCCTAGTGGCGATCTACACCACACCGGTATGGTGTGTTTGAACGAATCACCACATCTCGCGACGTGCGGTGCTCGTCGCAGCCGCGCATCTCGCGCGAGTCGCCGAATGGGCAATTTCGAAGATGGTAGCCTTTTCCCGGTACCTTCTCACGCCCGACATCTTCCGATCGGATACTGTTAACCCATACATCGACACTCTTGGATCATGACTCAACCTGGGGGGGGTACTCTTCTTGAGTGGTGGGAGTCAAAATCCATCTCATCATTATTTGTTAGGATTATTGCAGGCTAAATACGGTTATATAGCCTTCCCGAGTCCTGAGTATGTCACGAGTTATGACTCATGACGTGCAGACTCTAGTTAGAGTCACCAGGCTCGCTATTTTTAATCATCATCAGATCTTTACGCACAGAACGCGCTACGACGCGATCACCACGGGACCTTAAGCTTACATCGATCGATTGTTGCTAAACAACTCTCTTCGTTGTACCCGCGCGGGTGGTAGGTGTTTCGTGTTAGCACAGGTCGTTCGAGTTGCGCAAGATCTATTTTGGGGAGACGAAGAGTCGCCAGAGATCATGTTCCTTGCACATGACATCGCCGCGATCGCCAAGTTGGGCGAGATCACTCCCGCAAACACTGTGGAGTTTACTGATCCAGTCTGCGAGGCGTTGATGTACCGACTCAAGTCGTCAGCGGGCCAGGGCAAACGAAAGGAGAAAGCATCCACGGCCGCGCTTGCGGCCGCTGACCTCCTCAAATTTGTTATCGATTCAAGATTTAGATCTGAGTCGATAGGGTTAAATGAGATTAAAGGCGTTGTCCAATCTGTCGATCCCCAAATTAGGCAAAATGCAGAATGTCAATTTACAAGGGTTATATGCTCAGCGATATATGACAGTTGAGTCAAGAGTGCGCAGATTATGCAACAGTTTCTCTGCAGGACACAGAAGGTGAGTTATTTGATTTTACCTTTGATTAAAGGAACCCCCAGGAAGTTCGTGGTTGTTGTGCCGAATGCGGTGTTGCAAAAGGCAACCAGCAGGAAGGGCCACGTAAAATTTACCAGTGAACTTATTTTTGACCACAGTAGTTATGTGCGCAACATTGACGCACTAAAGGCGAGCTTGAACGCCGACTTCAGTAACCCGCGGGGCACGCTCAACCGTTCAGACCTGACTGAATGGCTTGGTGACGTAGAGTCATCTGAGGCTGGTGACGCAGAGTCATCAGAGCTTGAGTTAGATTGTGATGTTAACCTCGACGGGGGTCCACACGTGCAACCGGTAGCCGAAGAAATTGTCAAGCAGCGGGAACCAAAAGGGCAACCGTCATTGTCGACTGAACCTAATCTCTTGGGGAAAGATAAAGGAGTCGACGTATTATTGTCAGCTGAACCTAGTCTCTCAGAGGGAGCCGAAGGAGTTGACGCAATTGAACCGTTTCAGGAGCGGAATGTAGTGCCTCCTAGATGGCTTGAGCACGCAGAATCATTCCAAAATTCAGGTTGGGCGCCTACTGGGTATGCCATTAGCTCCGAAACGAAGGAAGGAGGCATTGATGAAGGAAACGATCCAACTGCTGGAACTGATCAGCCAGCGGAAGGTATCGAAGAGCTCATTAATCACTTCAGTAAGAATGGTAGAGTATCGGAGCAAGATCTCCGGGCACACCACATGTTTCTAGTTTCCAAGTATGAGGGTGATTACCCACAGATACCTTTCGATATTCGCGGAGAATCTACACCCGTAGCGCATGTTGTTTATGCCACCGCTGTGGCACACATGGAGGACTACGGGATAGTAGTTGATGAGTCGACAGTCGATTTCACACCATCCCGAGAGAAGGAATTTAATGGGCTACTAGAACATACATTGGAAGCAGTTGATGTGAAGCCAGGAGCGAATATATGCGGTACGAAGTGGGTAGATAAAGTAAAACCAGATGGGACGTTGAAATCCAGCCTAGTAGTGCAGGGATTCACCCAAGTTTGGTTAAAAGACTACCACGATACTTTCAGTGTAGTCGCGACGCTCACAACCTTCAGAAGCCACAGCACTAGTACAGGCTAGTGAAAACTAGGATGATGTTCATATTGCACGACTACACAGGCTAGCGAAAGCTAGCGACTAGCAGTGACTGAAGCAAAGCCGAGCACGACTTCACCGCGCTCTGCCAAGCCTAAGGGATGCTCTAAGAGTGCAAGAGGGAGAACAGTCAAGGACTAGTGAAGGCTAAGGGGGTGTGTTAGGATTATTGCAGGCTAAATACGGTTATATAGCCTTCCCGAGTCCTGAGTATGTCACGAGTTATGACTCATGACGTGCAGACTCTAGTTAGAGTCACCAGGCTCGCTATTTTTAATCATCATCAGATCTTTACGCACAGAACGCGCTACGACGCGATCACCACGGGACCTTAAGCTTACATTATTATTACAAAAATACTGTATCAAATCAAATATATCGGGTTTATGAATGAATGGAGTTGACCGGGACGACGATGCCGTTCGCCAACGTGATGTGGTCGGCGCCGCAAAGCGTCAACGAGTATCAAGATCTCAAATGCTCGGAGTGTCGCAAGTGAGCACTATGAATCGTGCTCCTGTTGACGTCGACGATCGACTTCTTTTCGCAATTTCCGTAGCGGTATTATGTCATGAGCCCATTGCTGCAGAAAAAAAACACCATTGCACGTCGGGAACGGCGGCTTCGGCGTTTTGAACAAGTCAGCGCTGTCGATGCGGATGGATTGTCGTACGTTTCGTGGGCGACTCGCTACGTGTTTCGCCAGACCCTCGCTTGAATACAATGAGACATCGAAAGCACCGACAGCAATCTGAGTCTTTAGATATATAACTTTGGCGGCGAGACGTGCTTCAGCGTCTGCCACGTCCGCTAGACGCTCAACTTTGGACGGTGAAAGCGCGAGACCTGTGAGTGCAGCTGGAAATTTCTCCTCGAGGACGCGGTTGATGCAAATCGCGTTCAAAGCGTGCGTGATACCAGAAGACTTGCGGCGGCAGTCCGTCGCGTCCCATTCTGATCCCGTAAGCGTGTTGGTGTCGGCGACGGCGGTGGCGTCGGCGGCGGCGCCGTCGATGACAACTTGGTGCTTCAGTGGGTCGGCGCGGTGCACGTACCGGCGAAGATTGACCGCGCAAGCTTGAATGGTGGCAGAGCCGGAAAGCAAGCTGTTGGAGACGGACACCAGCTTGTCGTCGCGCTTGACTTGCTGGATGGACGTGTCGTCGCCGATAGCCATCATGTCCGCGAAGCGGACGCCGGCGAGAGAAAAGCCACCGAAATAGAGGTGCGTGTCCGTACTCCAAATGATGTTGGTAGTCGCATCGATGTGCACGAGAAGCGTATACTTACCGGAAACGCGACGTTGCCCACTGTCGTTCTGAATCATCAAACCCGTATACGACGAGTTTGTGCGTGAGCGAGACTCCTCTTCGAACCCTTCCAAACGAATGTGCTCGACGATACGACTGTCGTAGCATTCGCCGAAGTAACGCTCGGGAGGGACGAGATGCGATCCACCACCCATCGACTCGAACGAATTCTGCACCGTATGCAGCTGTCCCTCAAAAGGCGCGACGTGCACTTCGCTAGAATCTTCAGCATCTTTAAGCCATCGGTAACCAAATTTAAGTGCACTCCAAACCGCACCGCGCATGCGGCGATTGCCGACATCCCGCGGTGGAATCACGCAAACAAACCGGGCGCTCGAATAAACTTTGTACTCGGACTCCAGGTAATCTGTTTCTTCGAATTTGCTTACGTACAGATCTGCCAAAAGATCCGGGATGAGTCCCGCGACGCGACAGGTGCCACCTAAAAATTTCAGCAAAGCCACTCCAGAAAAGTCTTCCCAAGCGCGCATTCTTGCTGGTGCCGTTGCTTGCGCAGAGGCAGACCAACACAAACACGCCTTCCAATACTTACGCACGATGCGAGACGCGAGTTCAGGTGTGGAATCGGATAATCCTTGAACGAATATCTTCGTAAGCCGGTGCCTGAATTCCAAAAAAGTTCCAGACTGGCCATCCGCCGATTGAAAATCGGCGTCGATCGGCTGCGCCTCGCGCGGCGAGGTTAATATGAATTCTTTGGCCGCACGACGCAGAAAGCTAACCGCGTTCTCGCCGCTCAAACAGAGCTTCGCACCAGTATATTTGTGTATCCAAGACCTAGACGTTCCCTTTCCTTTGTGGCTTCGTTTGAATTTTTCTAATTGAAATTTTCGAACGAACGCGACGCGAGCGTACTCTCGTTGGTTTAATCGGTCGTACGTTTGTGACCACGCAAGCACATCATCGAGAGGCGCTCCTATCGGGAACAAAATCTTTGCATCGAACACCTGCGTATCTCTAGCAAAATGTACATGCGGAGGATACGTCGCCGATCGCTCGTCCGTCGCGCGATCGTCTTTCATGGCCGTTACTCGCTTCGAATCAATGCGCTCAGGTGCCGCCGCGTGAGCAAGTTTCCGTCGCTTGTAGTTCTGCACTGAACGATCGCAACAATCCACACACGTCTGTACGTAGTCGTCTTTAAACTTGTCCTGCGCGAGCATCTTCGTGCACTTCAGACAGCAAGAAGATCCGTCATCGCCCACCGTTCGCTTCGCCTTCGCTACAGTCGTCTGCGTCGTCCGAGAAAGACCGATTAGTATCAACACGATTTCGTTCACCATCGACGTACCGGAAGTCCTCGCTCATCGCGCCGCGCCGCGTTCGATACCGCGTCCTGTTTCTTTTTCTTACTACTCGTGAAGCCAGATCCTTTCTTCTTCCGCGGCATTGTTGACGATGCCGACGCCGCCGCTTTCTGCGCGTCTCACAATGACGTTCGGCGTCTCGATTTAAGTGTCATCGCATCATCGCGCCACCGATCGATCCCCGCGCGGGCGCATTCTCGATCGATCCGCGCGTTGCGGTCGCAAAACGCATCACCACGCGACGTTCTTCGTCATTCCTCGACGTTCCGCGCGCTCGGAACGCGCGATCGCGGCGTAACAACGACGCGCGCGCGTGTCGACACCAATCGCCACTTCCGAGAAAAGTCGACACATCGATCGTCAGACGCCGACGCGCCGACGCGATGCTCGTCGCGACGCGCCGACGCGCGGAAATCGTGAACAGAATCGCAACGTTGGTAGCCTCGCGTTCCTTCAAGAAGCGCGTGTAATCACCCTTGAAGTTGTGTAATTTGCGGCTTCGAATCTCCACGACGCGATTGACGCACGCGAGAAGCTCCTCGTCATGCGATACCAAGACCACGGTACCCACGAAATTCTTGATCCAATCCGCCAACCACATTTTTGATTTACTATCCAAGTGATTGCTCGGCTCGTCCAAGAGCAACAACCCACCGTTTACGCCTTTATCTTTTGAGTCTCCCGCAGGGCTGAGTAACAATCGAGCCAACGCAACGCGCATTTGCCATCCCCCGCTCAGCGTATCGCACGGCGCTCGCATCATATCATCGCTAAATCCCAATCCTTTTAGGGTAGACGCCACGCGTTTCGCCGCCGTGCCTCCACCCACGGCTTCATACCGCGCGTTTGCGTTCGCCAGGCGTTCCGCCGCGCCATCCAGCCCGAGTTCCATCTCCCGCAGCGCATCTTCCCTCGCCGACTCCGCCTCTCGAACGTGCGACATTCTCGAGAAAGCCTCCTCTTCCACCGTCTTCGTACTTCCCGACACCCCGACCTGCTCTAATACGCCGACGAGTCTCGTCCCGACGCGCGCCGAGCCGTCGCTCGCGCCCCGCGTCCCGCTCAATACTTTCACCAACGTCGACTTCCCGCTCCCGTTCGCCCCGACGACGCCACAAATCTCTCCCGGCTCGATTCGAATCGCGTTCCCGTCGTGCGTACCGAGAATTAAATCATTGTCCCCAGTGGTGACGCGTATGTCGTCGCTCAAAGTCACGACCGCTCCAGCTGTGTCACCGAAAGGAATCTCAAACGCGTCCGCATCGGTCGACCTGAGCGGTGCGTCGCACCGTCGACGTCGGTTCCGGGCGTGTTTTGATGTGCTCGATGATAATCCCGACGCTCGGCGGGAGACGAGCGCGTTCGCACGCATGGTGCGCGACGCGGTGTGAGGTTTGAGACGCGGATAACGCGCCGAAGCGCGGAAGGGCGATGACTCGCGAAAGCGCGTGAACGGTCGTCGAAGACTGATCTAAATACACTATGTTTGATGCGTGTCGTCACCCGAGCGGTGATGACGCGCGCTAGGTTGGTCGGTTCTTTGCGGCGTCCGCGGCGCGAAGCGCCGTGCTCGAGAGTTTGGTTCCGTCGCCGGACGCGCTCGCGCCGATGAGATCGACGACGATGATGTCCAGGGGATCGAATCCGGCTTCGACGCGCATGTCGTTTAGAGCTTCCGCGCCGACGATGGTCTCACGACTGACGACGAGGGCGGACATCTCGCGGACGGTCGCCGCAAGCGGCGGTCCCTCGTCGAGCGGTCCGATGCGCACGTCCACGGGAGACGACAAATCTCGACACTCGAGCAAGAAGGCGCGCACGGCGTCGGCGCGATCTTCATATGCTTCCAAGAGCTCGCCGTATTTCTTGTTCCTCAGCAGAGCCTCACTCGTGACGCCGACGTATAAGGTTCCGTTTGGCTCGACGAGTCGCATCGCCGTCGCGAGCAGCGCGCGGTGTCCCGCGTGTAAACGATCGAACGTCCCGCCCACACTCACGTGTTTTCTCGTCCCGTTCGACGTAAAATCATATGAGGTCGTGGCGCGCTCGCTCTCCGACCGCATCGACGCCCACGCGAGCGCCCTGTCGCGCGCCCGACGTCCCGCCTCGACGACCGCGGCGTCCGCGCCCGACGTCCCGCTCGACCGCTCGACCGACTCCAAGTCACCGCGCGACGCACCAGTCGCGACGTGCGTCAAAATGACGTCCCCTCGACCGTCTCCGATGCCCCCGACGACGTCGTACACCTTCCAAATCGTCTCCGCGCGTCGGAATCCGTCGCTCGCGCTCAGCGCGACGCGCGCGCCGCGCTCAATCGCTCGCGCCAGCGTCTCCGCGCTCGTCGACTCCTCCTCGACGTCCCAATCAATGCGCACGCGCGATGCGTTCGCGTCGTCGTTCGTCCGAGCGCGCATGACGCGCGTCGTCGCCCGATGAAGATGAATTTGATGTCGATGTCGAATCTCCCCCTCTCGTCGCGCCCACGCCACCGAGACCCTCGCGCGCGCGCTCGACGCCTCGCGCGACGTCGTGCCCGCGCGCCGCGCCCGTTCGAGCGCGTTCAGGCGCCTCGAGCGCGTCGTCGTGTGTCGTTTCGTCGCCTGACCAAGTTTGTAAAAACGCTCGAGCGGCACTGTTCGCCACGAATGCGCGCGCGCGCGACCTTCGATCGCGTCGTCGCGACGCGCGCGCGATGCGATGTGCGCGGACGCGTCCGTGGGGCCGTCGCGCGCGCGCGAGCGACGCGTGGGGGCGAAGATGTGCGACGACACGTTCCGTGGACGGGCGGGCTGGAAATCATCTTCAGCGCCGACGAACGCGACGTCCTCGCGGGTGCGTCCCGTGGCGCGCCGTTAGACGCGCTCTCGGCGCCGTGGCGGTTGATGTTACTGAGCGACGGGAGCGTGACGCGACATCTGAGCGTGTTGGGTCGGAGCGCGCGCACGGAGGTGGAGGTCGTCGAAAGCGGCGCGCGAAGGAGCGATGACGACGATGACGACGTGCCGGAAGACGTGAAGCGGCTGGGGGCTGGGATTTTACGTAGAGAAGTATTTTTACGCGCGAGAGGGACGACGGGTGCGGGTGAGGCGCCGGCGGTGTACGCGGCGTCGTGGTGGAACGAGGAGGCGTTTCGGAAGTTCATGCCGGACGAGGGGGCGTCGATGTGGGCGAATCTTCGAAACGCCAACGTGGAGTTGCACAGGGAGATCAGGGAGGTGTATTTGGGGAAGAACGAGAGGTTGGAGGAGGCGTTCGGCGAGCGCGGGCCGTTTTGGGCGAGGCATTACATCTTTTGGCACGACGGCGCTCCGATCACGGTGGTGTACGAGGTGTTCAATCCCGCGTTATCCGCGGTGTTGGGGCGACCGTGAGCGCGCCTCGGTGGTCGAAGAATGCACTTGTTGCGTCGTCGCGAAGAACAGCGCGTCCTTAGTATTCCTAGTCTAGCTGAAGTGATTTTTTACACGTTACTGTACTGATCGATCGCACTCACGCGAAGGTGTCGAAACATCGTTTCATCTCGGGCGTCGAGAACAACGACGTGAACGGCTCAACGTGATTCGCGAGCGGCACTTTTTTCATGCGCACGTCGAACTCCTCGGCGATGAGCGTGCCGTAGCTCGCCGCGCATAGATCGCCCATGTCGAGCTCCTTGGTCTTCACGCGTTCGGTGAGGTCGCGCTCGAGCAGGCTCACCATTTTCGGCACCTGCGCACAGTAATGGGCGCGAAGCGTCTCCATCTCCCACACCGAGCTTTTCAGCGCGTTGGTTTTCGCGGGATCTTGTTCGTCCGCGTCGAACGGATCCGCGTCGACGGTTGCGGCGTTCTCACGATGCACGAGCACAGCGCATGACTTGTGTCGGCGAATGAGATTGTGGATGAAAGCCACGCAAAGCATGGCCCCAGCGGGCGGTGCAGACAGCGAAAGTCTCGCGAATCGTTTCACGAAGCTTGCGACGAGGTACGCCGGGAGCGCCGGCGACTTGAGGAAGACATCCATGAGGGAGAAGAATCCGCGACGATGATTCGCGTGGAAGCACGACCCGTCCAGGAGCTGATACAGACGATTGTAAAACGTCGGATACTCCAACCCGTGTTGGGTCATGAGGATGAAGAGTCCGTTCAGGGCGAGCATACCGGTCAAACCGCCGACGTCGATGGAATCGACGCAGAAATCACTCAGCAACTGCGGGTTCACCATGTGCGGCATCACGTCGACGTGCAGACGCATGAGAATCTTCCGGTAAATATCCTCGGGGAACTCTGCTCGGAGCAATGCGAGCCAGGCTTCACTGAACGCGCGACGATGACGCACGCCTTCGGTCCACTTCGACGCGCCCACACTCGAGGATATTTTCCGTCGCTTTTTTGCCGACTCCAGGTCCACGGCGCCGCCCTCGGCGTCTTCGCACCACGGTCCGCGCTTCTCCGCCTCCTCCTCTGCGTCCTGCCCCGCCCGAAGTTTTGCCAACATTCTCGCGAAATCATCCCTCGGATTACTCGCGTCATTGCCCGATTGATGATCCTCAAATTCCCTCGGCGTCGCGTTCAGGACGTCGTACACGTTCCTCGCCACATCCGTCCTAGACGCCCGCCCCGCTTTCGCCTCGTACGTCCTCAAACCCTCCGCGATCTTCTTCATCGCCACGTACGTGTAATACCTGACGTCCACCCGGGTCAGATAACGCGTCTTCATCGCCCCCAATAACTCCTCGCTCCAGTCCGCGCTCGACGTCGCTCTCCGCACCACCTCCTCGTACATCTCGTTCGAAAACCGTCCCGGGGTCTCGCACCTCGCGCATTCCATCAACACCGCCAACGCTAACGTCCGCGTACGTCCGTCCCATCCCCCATCGCACATCACGTCCATCGTCCGCTCCGTAAACGTCCTGTAGTGCTTTGCGAACCACTCCAAGTACTTTCTCCTCGGCGTCTCCGCCTCGTCCTCTCGCTTCCGCGACTCTCGGAGCTCATCGAGCGTCCCGCTCGCCAATCTCTCGCACCAGAACCGCTCGAGACCGACCAGGGCGTCGAAGGCGTCTCGTGACGTCGAAGACGTCGGTGACTTGATGGCTCTCAAGAGTTCCAAGACTTCATTGACGTTGGAATCGCTCGCGTTCAGGTTGATTGCGCGCTCGGCGACCGTCTGCGTCGACGCACTCGCGGTTTTATTCGAAGACGCGTTATTTCTCTTCCCCATCGCTCGAGTTTCACCGCGAACGGAGCGCTCGATCGTCGTCGAGAACTCGAAGAGCGTCGTCGAGTGGCGACGCGCTCGTGGCGGCGCTCGATGGCGACAACGCTGATTCACCCACAGTTCCCGACGCGACCGTCGCTGACGCCCAGGCGGCATCTTACACGAAAGAGAATAATACACCGCGTCTTTCCGTGCCTCTGAGTCGCCCGGAATCGCGAAAACGAGAGAGAACTCGCGAGAAACGCCAGACGTAATCGAACCGAAGATCCAATGGCTGAACACTTGGCGAGCATCTTCGGCACCGAGAAGGACCGCGTGAACTGCCCGTTCTACTTTAAGATCGGCGCGTGTCGACACGGCGATCGGTGCTCTCGATTGCACAATAAACCGTCGGCGTCGCAGACGGTGTTGTTGACGAACATGTACAGGGCGGAGGGCGCGGGCGGGACGGTGGACCCGCGAGACGCGGCGAGCGGGAAGAGCGCGAGCGCGAGCGCGGGCCAAGGGCACTTCGAGGCGTTCGTGGAGGACTTATTCGAGGAGTTGGATGAATGCGGGGAGATTGAGGGGGTGAACGTGTGCGATAACGCGACGGATCACATGGCGGGGAACGTGTACGTGAAGTTTGTAGACGAAGACGGAGCGAGACGGGCGTTGGAGAAGTTGCAGGGGCGGTACTACGATGGGAGGCCGATCTTGGTGGAGTACTCGCCGGTGACGGATTTTAAAGAGAGCACGTGCAGGCAGTATGAGGAGAACTCGTGCACGCGGGGGGGATACTGTAACTTCATGCACCTGCGGCCCATCGGGCGGTCGATGCGGAAGCAGTTGTACGGACGGTACCTGGAGCGAAGGAGACGAGACGACGACGAGCGACGGGATCGTCGGTCGAGAAGTCCGCCGAGGAAGCGCTCTCGCGACGACGAAGACGATGGACGCGTCAACGCGAAGGGGATGTCCGACGACGCACGACGAGCCATGTTCGCGCAGTGGAACGAAGAGGGTGCGGATTGATTTTCTTGAGTTGAAATTTCTATGTGTGCGAATAGCTTCTACAGATCACTCGCGAGCTAAAAAATACTAAAACCGTTTTAATGCGCAACCGCGAAAGCGGAACGAATCATGAAAGGATTGCCGTCATCGTCGGAGTCCATGTCTTCATCCGAGTCCACCGAAAACGCCTCGCGTGTGATGGGATCCTTGCGATCGAACACGATTCGACCACCCCGACCGTAGCGTGGACGGCACTGCTTGAGATCGACGCCGAGCGGAAGCAAAAATGGACGTACAGCGACCATGGACGGGGTCTTCGTGAACAGCATTTCGATGTCCGGGATCTCCGGCGGAGGCTTGTACGGCAACACTTGGATTTGTACTCTTGGACGAGGAGGGTACCCGCCGATCGCCGCGAGACCGAGCTCGCGACGACGCTTGCGTCCGGCAATATCGCCCATGTCGTCTCCCAGAACGACGTACTGACCGTCGGGCTTCTTGACGAGCTCCACAGAGCCGCCGGCAAGAACGATGTTCTTGTTGGGCGGATTCTCCGGGATCTCCAACTTGGCGCGCTTCTTGTCCGCGTCCATCGCCTTTTGTTCAATCGCCTCGTGCGACGCTTTAGGTTCATGTCGAAGCTTGATCTGAAGATTTTGGAGTTCGTGCTCGACGGTGAGCATCTCATTCTTACGCTTCTCTCGCTTCAACATAAGCTCGAGAATACCGATCGAGATATCAAAGGATTTGCGCACTGAGCGAAGCCTGTCGTAACTCGACACGTCGTTCTCACGGCGTCGCCGTGTTTGTGGTCTAGAAATTTTCTCCCGAGGCCTGAACACATTGAAAGGATTCGGGTCGTTGGGCGCCGGCGGCGGCTGCAAACGACGTAAAATCGGCCTCTTCAACCTCTTGCGCTTGTCCACCCAGTACTCATACACTGCCGTGAGAATCGCCTGCTTCCCACTGATCTCTTGCAGCAGCTCCAGAGCCTTTTCCCTCGGTAAGTTTGCCACCACCCCCAGCGCGTCGACCTTCTCTTGATAACTGATCACCTGTCCGCGCGCCGCCGCCATCGCTGTGTTTGCCTTCATGATACGCTCGTTCGCCTCTGAGCACGCCAACTCGAGCTTCCACAGCATCTCCTCGAATTTCTCCGCGCTTAAAACGTCGGCGCCATCGTTATAATTTTCCAACCAATCCTCGTCTTCGTTATCCAGGTCGTATTCGACGTATCCCACCGTCTCCGCCGGCGTCAAGCCGCACGTCAGCTTCGACCGCAGGTAATGTTCCGGCTGCTTATAATTCGTCGGATAATCCGTCTCGTACGATGCCACGGGTAAGATCTCGGGAATGGGAATCTCGCTCACCCCCGCCGTGGTTTCCTTCGTCAGAACCTCCTCGTTCTCCTTATCCAGCGCCTTGTGCGCGTGCGTCACCTCTCGCTGCACCACTTGCTCATCCTTAATCGCCTCGGGATCGCGCAAAAGCGCGAGTTGCGACGTGACATCGATCGGGCGCGCCCGAAACGATCCCTGTCGCGTCGCCATCGCGCGTGTATGCTCAACGACCACTCACGCGCCGAAGAAACAAAGCGAATGCGAAATTTGAGAATTGAGAAAGTGATCGACCGACCTTCGATCGCGTTGAATTCACCCTCGCGCTCCCCGCTAAGCGCTCGACGCGCGGTCTCGAGGCTCCAACGTCGAAAGGGGTTTTCGACCGCCGCCCCGAGCGCGCGTCCACGCCGAACGCGCCCGCGCGACGCGCGTTGCGACGCGAACTGAGAGCGAGATTGAACGAGGGTTTAACTTCAAATGCTAGGGTACCCGTGCGAGTGCCCATGTTTTCGTCCGTGCGGAGTATCGCGACGCGCGTCCAACGTCTTTGGGTGCGTGACGCATGGCTATATCATAAACAACAATCAGAAGAATTTTTTCTCTAGGTGACGCTTGAGGACCTCGGCGGAGCACGAGGGACAGACGCCCGGCCCGCGCGGTTTGACGACTTTGTCAAGCCAACACTTGTAACACGCGACGTGCTTGCACGCAGAGGCAAAGAAAGGTTTATCGCACGGGTGTGAGCACACGACGCACGCGTTCGGTGGAGCCACCACGACGAGCTGCGAGGGTCCACCGGCGGCGATTTTCTGCGCCTTGACTTTCTCTTGGCGCTCGATGAGTGCTTGACGATGCTTTTCATAAATCGGCTTGTGCGACGACGGAACGAACTCGCCGAACAGGGCGTACAGCCCCTTTGGATTCTCCGGAGCCTTCAGCACTCGACTGGCGACGCGAAGTAAATCGCGGATATCGAACTCGTCAGTGTTTACCTTGTCGATGTGCGACACGAGCTCGTTGTATGCGTCGCGAGACAGTTCAAGTTTCGCTCGACGCATGAAGAGCTTCGTGCGTTCTTCGCTCGGAAGCTCGGCGTTCTCGTCATCGATCACCTGACCGACGTTATCCGTCTCCTCCCCGCGCGATCTAGCGAGCTGCATCAAAAGAGGTGACTTTCTCTGCGCCTCCCTCGTTTGCTTCTCACGCGCAGCTCCGAATAAATCCAATTTCTTCGCCTGGAGTGGAACGGTTCGCTTGGAGACAAGCATGAACTTTTTACGAGCCTCTTCGTCTTCGTCGTCGCCTTGATCCTTGGAGAACTGTCGAACAAGCGAGGCGATGGACGCCTTGGACTTTTCTTTGCGCGCCATCGTATCTGCCTTGGCCTTGGCCTTTACCACGGCAATGTCGACAAACTTGGCAGGCGCCGGTTTCGCGCTCGCCACCGACCCGACGTTCGATTGGAAAAAGTCACGCAATCCGCTCACGACACTATTGAAGACTGAGTGCACTTGAATCGAGGGTCGAAGCCAGAGTGAGAGCTGATTTCGCGCGTTTTCGTTCGCGAAACGTTCATCAGCAAGAATTACAGCGCCGAAATCATTCTTGTGACGAATCGCACGCCCCAGAGCCTGGTTCACCGCACGCATCGCCGTTTGAGAGTACCACTCGTTCCCAGAATACGATTCTCCATCATTGGCGCGACGTTTGTCCAGAAACGATCGTTTATGCATCACGAGCGGATCCTTCGCTCCGGCGTACGGGATGCCGGTGAGAATCACACCTCGACATGCCTTATCTGCGAAATCGATACCTTCACTCACTTTACCTCTACACACCGCAAAGAAAATTGCTCCTCGCCTTGTACCATCGTTCAGCGCTTCGTTATAACGCTTGTAGCACTCTTGGAACTCCTCTGAGTTCGAGGGCTCGATGAAGCACGTTTTACTCGCCTCAATTCCAGCCCACAAACCACCCTCAACAAACCTCCAGTGGTCAATGCACGAGTTCATCACGCCGTAGGAAGGAAAGAATACCAATAATCCGTCCGGTACGATCTTCGCCGTACTCAAAATCACGCTACCTATTTCCTTCTTGTAATTGTCGGTGTCTCTGAACCTAAATGAACTGTTCAGCACGTTTCCGCCTGGGCCGTGCGTGAGGACACCGCCCCATATCTGATTCCTCTGTATCACGTGCGGATTCTCCAAACGAACGGGAAACTCCATCGCGAGCTCGCTCGAGAATGATTCCATCGGCGAGAGCGTGCCTGAGGCGAGTAAAAAAGACCCAACGTTTTTCTCGATGAGTTCCTTGAGGCACAATCCTGGGAAGAAGCACCAGTACGACAGCGTCGGTCCCTGACGCTGACGCTGGCTTGTCTTGAAATTATCGGTATCCGGACCGACACGCGTGACGAAGTATTGATCTGCGCGCTTCGTGAAGAGCCGTTCGATGAAGTTTGCGATCTCTGTGAGAGGGGTCTCCTTGTGCGTCCCGGTGGCGGCCTCCATGAAATCGCTGCCGAGTTGCACCATCTTTGCCGCCCCCTTCATAATGGTGACGGCGCGCTGATACGTGAACTGCGTGATCCCAACCCGCTCTAAGAGGTTATAAATGAACGCTCCGTCCTCGACGCACTCGCCCAAGGTTCCCGATTTTCCGCTCTTTGTCGAGGCTTCTCGACACACGCCGTCCAGGACCTCCTCGAGTTGCAGCAGAGTTCGTCCGAGCTCGAGCACGTCATTCGAGCCGAAAGCGCTCGCCTCCTCACCCATACCTCTCTTAAATAGTTCTTTTTGATCGTCACGGAGCACCCCTTCCTCGTCGTTGTCGTCGACAGTCAACTTGGTCTCCCACGCAGAGTTTGTCTCCTGAATCGCCTTGGCCAACTTCGCCGCCGTGAGCGAGTAACTCATGCTATCCGCTGCGCTCGACTCAAGATTATGCGCCTCATCTACGATCACCACTGCATCTTCCCACACGATATCGAGCCCTCGTCGCACGGTATCGTTGAGCAAGTAATTATACGGCATGAAAATTATCTCCGCATCGGCGCACTTGGTCCTTGACAGATAAAACGGACACGGACCGCGCGACTTTTGCGCCGCGATCACCAAATCCTCGATGTCTCGCACCCCACCCTCGAACACATCGAACTTCTCACCGATTCCTTTCCTATTAAGCGACATGTCCAGGACGTTCTTCGCCCCGCACTTGCGCTCCGCCACCAATTTCGAGCACCTATTATTCTGCGCGTCGCCGACCAGAGCTCTCACGTCCTCCCTCGCGCACGCGTGCTTTCGACTCGCCAGCGTCGTCGCCCTCGTGTTACTATCTAAAACTTTCAACTCACCGAGCACCTGTCGCACCTGCGAATGCGTTCGCGTCGCGTACACAATCGTCGGCGCGCGCTCGCGCTCCCGCCGCACCTCCGCGTCCACGAATTCCTCCGTCACCGTCTCGCTCGTCGACGCCTTCTCCCGCGCTCTCGCCCGACGTTTCTTCGCACGTCCCTCGTTCCGCGCGTACGCCAGCGCGGCGGACAGGAGGCACAGCGTCTTCCCCGTGCCCGTGGGTGACTCGAGCAAAGCGGACTGTTTTCGACACATCGCCTCGAGCGCGCGCTCGATGAAGACGATCTGGGCGTCGTACGCGTCGTACGGGAAGGAAACGGTGAACTTACGATTGGCGCCGGTCGCGTCGACGCACGCGAAGGCGTAGTCGGGCATTACCGGGGATGGGAGGGGTCGGGGAGTGAGGACTCGACAGACGGGCGCGCTTTTGAAAAGGCGGCGGAAGAGACGGATGATGAGCGCGTCGATCCGGCGGAGTGCGTCGAGCGCACACGCGCGGTGATGATTTTCAATGAATAATTCTTCGGTTTTCGACGTATGCGGTGGTCAGATGAAGTCGTCGTATCGAGAAGTAAAATCCGAGCGTGAGCGCTGGCACCAACCGTTCGTCGACGAGTCTGCCTCGTTCACCTGCATGTTGTGGTCGAAGTAAATCACCGAGCCCTGTTCGTAGCGCTCGGCCTCGTTGATTACTTTTGGAAGCTCCAATCGAGCGAACCATGTTCCGAGCGCTTTATGGAATCTCCAATTGGACGCCCTGAGTTCCGCCGCCGCCAAGAGTTTTTTCTTCGGCGTCGGGCAAAAGTAAAACGTAAAGAAGAGCGCATCGGCGTCCAATCTCTTGAACAACAGAGGTGAGTCCAGCCCAGGGGGTGCGCGTGTGGGATATGATCTCGGGAACGCGTTCGATCGTCGCTCAGTTCGACGCTTCACACGTTCGCTCGATAAGCGCCAGGCGGCGTCGTTGTTATCGGGCGTGAGCTTCATCGCCGCAATTTCGAGTAGGCGATGATTCACGTGCGGGTCACTGATGAGCACGCCGCGTATACTCACTCCCGTCGGTGTCGCCGCGGCGTCGCCGGCGCGCCCGTACGCCAAGTCATCCGGCGACAAATTTCCCGTCGCGTGTCCGCCTCGGCTCAGCTCATCCAGGCTGAGAAGGCCGTTGCCCGGTAGGTCAAAGATATCTCCGAGCGCGGACGCACGGTCATCGATGGACGCAGACGTGGCGTCGAATTTATCGCGAAGCGACGATCCACCGAAGGCTTCGTCGTCGCCCTCGCCGTCGTCCACGCGTTTCTTCTTCGCCTCTGTCCTCGACGGAGTCGTCGGCGTCGACGCCGATCGCGTTCGCTCCGATCTCCCAAGAGCGCGCTCTCGATCACCCGGCGTCTCCGGAGCGATGACATCGACGGACCCTTCATCGTCTTCGTCACCGTCGTCACCGCCGCCGCCGTCCCGATCGAGACTGATCTTCTCCGTCTCCCGCCTCTCGTCCGCGCGATTCGTCGATTCGTCTTCCCTCGTCGTCTCCCCATCTGTAATCTCCGCGTCTCCCTCGACCACGACGTTCTCACCGTCTCCGTTTACATCCAACATCATCGCGCGCGCGCGTCACGATCCACCCTCGAGCGCCACGTCGATCGATTCCGTCACCTCCGCGCTCGATCGACTCGCCCGTCTCGTCGATCGGCGCGCGCGTTGACCCTCTCGCTCGCCGTCCACGCGCGCCCGCGCCCGCGCGCGCGCCGTTCGTCGACGCGAAACCGATGGATATCCACCACGCGCGTCTCGCGCGCCGATCGCGTGGGCGCCGCGTCGACCGCGCGCGAGACGACACGCGGCACGACGATGCGAAGAGATCAATCGTCGCGCGCTCGGAGATCGCGCGTCGTTCGATCGACCGCGCGCCCCGGACGCGCGCGGCGGGACGCGACGGCGGGACGTCCACGCCGGGAAATTTGCGCGACCCGTGGGCGAGTCGATCTCCGAGCGCGTTCGACGCGCGCGAGGCGACGTGTGACGGTGGGGTGGGAGAGGAGATACGAAGCGTCACCGTCCATCGCGGCGCGCGTCCACCGCTTACACACCGCATCGAACGATCGAATCGCGAGGCGAGAGATGTCGTGAGTATCGACCCGCGCGCGAGTTCGCGAGAGGCGTGAACCTTTGCGCGCGCGAGCGTCACGGTCGCGCATCTCTCTTCGACGCGCGTTCGGCGGCGGCGCGTCGCGTCGAATCGGCGCTTCGATCCGACGCGACGCGCCGCGCCTCGCCGACGCGATGTCATCCGCACCCCGACCCCGCGTCGGCGTTCAATCCCAACGAAGTCGCGTCGACGTTGGATTCGATCGCCTCTAAGATCTCCAGCGCGCTCGGCGGTCGGCCCTCGCGCAAGGCGCTGAACACGGCGTCCTTCGCCCGAGCCCCCCTCAGCGCCTCCTCGCCGCCCACCGCGTCGCATATCACCACCTCGAACGCCCCCGACCGGGCCCCATCCGTCGCGCCGATGACCAGGTCGTTATTTCCATCCACGACGCACCTCGGGAACGCGTCCTCGACCGCGTCGGCGACGGAGAGGAATTGATTCAAGAATTTCTCCTCGTCGTACTCGACGTGAATCGTGAGCGGCGGCGCGTTCCCGAGCGCCCCGCGTCACGCGTACGCGCGACGCGCCGCCGCGACGCCGCCCGCGACGCCGCTTCGGCGGACGCGTCCGAGCGCGCGCGCGAGCATGCGCGCGTCGAGACCGCGTCGCGATGTGCGCACCGTCACCGCACTCGCCGTCGCGTCCACCGTCGCGCGCGCGTCGACGCGCGCGCGCGCGGGCTCGCGCGCGCGTCGGGATCGGATACGTCGTCCGCGCGAG